CACCAAACTCCTCTTTTTGGGCTTGAGACGTTCAAACAATATTAGAGCCGACCCTAGCCCGGTGTGGGAACTAAATGTTATACAAGACTAAGGGTTACACCCATAGAAAGGGTGCCATCTCGAGAGTCCTGCACTCTCTGGGGCTCGATTCGAGATTGTTTTGTGATGAGGATGTTGCAACTTTAAGGAGAAAAGATTGAGATACCCCATATGGCATCGACGAGTTACGAAGAATTGAATTAGATAGAAGAATGACTAAGGGACAACAAAACAATTCTTTTTGGGTGATGATGACAAATAAGCCTAACTCAAAGTCCTACCATTCCTCCCTCGAGCTTGGGGTGATATAGTCGATTGATTCAAATCTATTCTTTACGGGTTAATAATTTTATCAATGCTTTTCATTTTGTTTTGATGATTCTGAACTCATTCAATGTAGTCATGCTGTGAAATAAAATAAATCATGATTTTTTTTAAAAAAAATCACTATTCATCTACATTTTGAACATCGTAATTTATTATTTATTTATTTATTTTTTAAATATTTTGAAAATCAAAATTATCAAACAAAATAATTAAAGTAGTATTTTAAAAAAACCTTCCAATAATACCATACTTTTTAATATTATGAATTATTTTGTGAATGAACATATAAATTTAAATCACATACTTTCAAAAAATAAAAATTTCATCAATGTTTAATAAAAATAAAAAAATATTTTATTTATTTATTAATTTTATGCAATTTTTATATTAATTATTATTTTAGTTTTTTGACATGATATTATGAAAAAATTAAAAAATATGTATTTTTTTTTACTTTCTATTCAAGTTTTCTTTAGATTATTATAAACTTTTTATTTAGGAATTCATATAAAAAAAAATCATGTGATTAAAAAAACATAAAATAAAGTAAAAAAATATTTTTTTACCTTTCATTCATTATATTTGAATGGATCCTTTTTTCTAATGATTACGTAGCACATTCAAAAATCCTAGTTTCTATCAAAACAAAACTTGTAAGATAAGATATTTTCCATTCAATGAATATGAAATCTGAACAAGCCAAAGCTTCCACGTTTTAGATCTCAACAACATTAATCAAACTCAGCTTCTTGTTTCTGACTTCCTTGTCACAAACAAAAGATGAGGAAGCTCCCTTTCTTTCTCCTCCTCCTCTCCCTCCACACTCAGACTTCCTTCTCCAAAGTCAACATCTCCGTTACTCCAACAACCCTCCAGAAATCCGGTGACACAGTAACCATTTCCTGGTCCAACGTCGAAGCACCTTCCAAACTCGACTGGCTCGGTTTCTACTCACCTCCTGACTCACATCACGATCACTTCATCGGCTACAAATTCCTTTCTTCCTCTCCTTCATGGCAATCTGGGTCGGGTTCCATTTCCTTGCCCATCACCAACCTCCGTTCCAATTACTCTTTCCGGATCTTCCACTGGACCGAATCCGAAATCAACCCCAAACGACATGACCATGATCACAATCCCCTCCCTGGGACCGCTCATTTGCTGGCGGAGTCGGATGTTTTTGGGTTCGAGTCGGGTCAGGGGCCAGAGCAGATCCATCTGGCGTATACGGATGTTGAGGATGAGATGAGGGTGATGTTTGTGGTGGGTGACGGAGAGGAGAGGAGCGTGAAGTGGGGAGAGAGGGACGGGGAGTGGAGTCACGTGAGTGTGGCACGTGTGGTGAGGTATGAGAGGGAGGATATGTGTGATGCTCCGGCAAATGGGAGTATTGGGTGGAGAGATCCGGGTTGGATCCATGATGGGGTCATGAAGGATTTGAAGAAAGGTTTTAGGTATTATTATCAGGTAATCTAATTTATTTGATTTTTTTTAATCTCTTTTTCTTTTGTGTATAATTTATTGCTTTTGATCTGTTATTTCAGTTGTTTGAGTTGGTTATTTTTGGGAATATTTTGTTAATATACCTGCATTAATTAAATCTCATGCTGTTAGGCACTTGAATAGCTTAAATTTACACTTAATTGGATTTTGTTAGATTAGAAATTTCTAAAATGTATGGTTTCGTTATTCATATAAGCCAACTGGAATTTTAGTCCAGACATGAGAAATATATTATTTTTTGACCATTTCAATTCTTTTGTTCCATGATTTAGTTTGCAAGAGTTTAATTTTGTTTTGCTGCACGGTTTATTGGTTGCTTTTCTAGAGCTACCTGGTTTGCAGCATGGTAGAATTTTTTTCTCTTTTCCAAATCCCATACATCCATGCTCTTCGGGACAAAATATGAAAGCTACATGGAAAAGGGCAAAATTTTCTGCTGCTTGTTCCAGGCTCATGCTTTTCACGAGATTGCTAATTGAGTGAAAGATTGACTTTTGGTTGCTCCTTTGATACGCATTTTCGTTCTCTTCTGCTTCCAGTTTAATTGTAGACTGCTTTCTGCTACAAATATGGTTCTTAAAACTACAAGTTGTTGGATTGATAAATTGTTTCAATCTCAATTCATTTTCCCTGTTTTGTGCTGACTGCGTAACAAGGCAACATTTTGAGAAAAAGTATGACATCAATTATCAAAACTGGAATCAATCATAGTTTGGTTATTTCCGCTCTCATTGGCTCTTTTCATATGCAGCTGCACTGTGATCTATATTCACCTGATTTCTCTATATTATTTTCTTGAGTGGATGAAGTTAGTATTATCTGTTTCTTACCTGGATGGCACACTACTAACACTGCAGCGAGAGCTGTAGTTGATAAAGTTCAATTAGTTGGCTTGTTCCCCATCTGAGTTAGAAAATTTTGATAACAGGTTGGAAGCGACTCTAAGGGTTGGAGCACAACTCGGAGCTTTGTCTCACGGAATGGAGACTCGGATGAAACAATAGCCTTCCTGTTTGGAGACATGGGAACCTCAACACCATATGCTACCTTTATCCGTACACAAGACGAAAGCATATCAACCATGAAGTGGATCCTTCGTGACATAGAAGCTATTGGTGACAGGCATGCTTTTGTTTCTCATATAGGAGATATCAGCTATGCAAGAGGCTACTCATGGGTGTGGGACCATTTTTTTACTCAAATTGAACCTGTTGCTTCCAAAGTGCCATACCATGTGTGCATTGGTAATCATGAGTACGATTGGCCTTTACAGCCCTGGAAACCAGAATGGGCCAATGCGGTTTACGGAACTGATGGTGGTGGTGAATGCGGGGTTCCTTATAGCCTTAAATTTAACATGCCAGGGAACTCTTCAGAGCCAACTGGGACCCGTGCTCCTCCAACTCGAAACCTTTACTACTCTTTTGATGCAGGGGCTGTACATTTTGTGTACATATCAACTGAGACCAATTTTGTTTCTGGGAGCAGCCAATATAACTTTATAACGCAAGATCTGGAATCAGTTAACCGGAGCAAGACTCCTTTTGTGGTAGTCCAAGGGCACAGACCAATGTATACTACTAGCAACGAAAACAGGGATGCCCCAATGAGGAACAAAATGCTTGAGCACTTGGAACCTTTGTTTGCAAAACATAACGTTACCCTTGCATTATGGGGTCATGTGCATAGATACGAAAGGTTTTGTCCAGTGTATAACTTCACCTGTGGAAGCACTTGGAAGGGATTTCCAGTCCATGCTGTGATTGGTATGGCAGGACAAGACTGGCAGCCCATCTGGGAACCAAGACCAGACCACTCAAGCGATCCAATATTTCCACAGCCTGCCCGGTCTATGTACCGTGGGGGTGAGTTTGGGTACACCAAATTGGTTGCCACAAAGGAGAAGCTAACACTTACTTATATAGGGAACCACGATGGACAGATGCATGATAAGGTGGAAATTTTGGCATCTGGAGAAGTTCTCGGTGGTGGTGACCGCACCAGTGAGGATGCTGGAGCCAGGACGGAGGCGGTTGATTCTACATTCTCATGGTATGTCAAGGGGGCAAGTGTTCTTGTACTTGGGGCTTTTGTGGGCTATATTCTTGGCTACGTTTCCCCTTCCAGGAAGCAAAATGGTAACAGGGCCAGCTGGACTCCCGTGAAAAGTGAGGACATATGAAAGATTGTGAGGAAATTATGATGCTGGCTATACATGCAGGTATTGTCCTCGTATTTTTGGAGGTTGTGTGCAATGGGGCGTCAAGGTTTTGGGGTTGCCAAAATGAAGCCCTCCTTTTCAGAAGATGAAGCCATCCTACTTGTTTTGGCAAATTAGGTGGCGAAAAAACTACCTCAATATACTTGTATACCATCTCTGTAAATACTAAATACTAAAACTTTCTTCTGTATTTGGGGAGTGAAAACATTATTTGACCATCAATACATAAAAAGGATTGTATGATAGTGTACGCTTTTGTAGCAACGTGTTATGATTTGTTCAAAACTCTTCTGTTTGCAAAGTCAATTGCGTTGTGTTTATAAATTGCATCACATCTTGGGTCTAACATTATGGGCTTAACTGTGTTTTATAACCCAAAATCTGAATATCACTGCCAATAGCTACAAAGCTGACAAAATTTCATGGAGATTTTGGAGAAAATTATAAATTAGTCTACTTAGTTTTTTTTTTTGCCCCTAAGAAAAACCAATTATTTTAATGTTTTGACCTCTGACGACCTAATTAGTTTTTGAAATAAGAAAAATTAATTAATTCCTTTCTGAAAACTAAAAAGACTAATTTATAATTTACTTGAGATTTTTCTGTTTTTTTTTTTTTGGTGATTTTGATATCAACAGTCCTGGTTCTCCTAGCATGTGAGTTTGTGAAGTAGATAGTCGATGCATGAATATGGAAAAATCATTTGCCAAAGAAACAAAGAATAGATTTTGTATTAACAGTATCTGGAAAGAGAAACACATGCTTTTTGTATACAACTGGGACTTCCAGATGTCAAAAGAAAAAGAATGAAAAAAATATCGACCAGCACAAAAATGCCGTTGCAACAGCTGAAACAGAAGTTATGCAAACTGAACCGAGCAGCTGAAGGTGATACACGCTGCCCAGTGTTTCACTTCCCAATCAAATGGCGTGTACGTTGATTAGCTCCTTTCACTCGATAGTTCAGCTCATCTACATCATCACCGAGGTGATCAAGGGCTTTATTTTGCCTGCATTAGTGACATAATTTAGAACAATAAGATCATGTAACAAGAATTGATTAGCTAGTGATGAGGACTTGTAACGAGGCAGACAGTAGTTTTGCTCCAGTAAAATATTGCTTTTCAAGATTGATAATGAGAAATATTCTTGGAAGAGAAGTGAAGAGTGTTTATAATGAACTTGTAATGCCCCAAAACATTTTTACTTTTTCAATCAAGAGCGATATCAAACTGACCTTTCAAGCTCACTTCCCATATCAATTGCCATGCCTTTTAAATCACCCAAGATGTTGCTTAAATCTGAAAGCGCATCATCTTGCTTTGCCCTCTCTACCTGGTATCAGCACACCCATATATGCATAAATTTCAATATTACACCACAATTGTATTCTCCCAAGTCCTATCAAGAGTGAAGGACACTAACCTCAACTTTCTGCAGGGCATTTGTTGGTTCAGGAGGAGGTGTTGTAGGAGCTGAACGTCCTTTAGGAGCTAAACCCAGCTTTTCTCTTTCTCCTTTGTGGTATTGGTTTACTTTGGATGGCTTATCTGTAGGCAGTAAAGCAGAGCAAAGAAGAACATAAGCTTATGCTCAGGGAAACGATTTTTAGAAAATGAAACAAGCCAGTGATGAAAGAAACCTCCTGTGGTCACAGGTCCTGTTATGTCCCGGGTCTTCTTTGGCTTCCAAGGCTTAGAGAACATGCCCCCGAGATTGTTCAAGAGCTTCTCTCCCTGATATTAGCAGTATAAGATCATTAGAAGTTATCCCTAACAGTAGCAATATGTCGTTGGAAGGAATCTAGGAAAGAAGACCAATGAAATCAAAGAAAAAAAAGTCTTTTTAAAACAATCAGATATGCTCTTTAGATGGTAATCCATTATTAGGCATGTCTATGCCATGGACATTAATTGAAGCAAGTGAATCCGTTCTTTTGCAATTTTTCTTTTTCTTTTGGTTGAGATCCCCTCATTTAGTTTCTTTTGCCAAGCAGACTGCCTTAGGTACGCAGCATAGCATCATGGTTGCTTTCTTTCTACATAAATTCTCGCATCTCAGAAAGCAGACAAAGCGTTCAACCAAGTTATTAAAAAGAAAAGTTATCGAATTGAACTGATGCCAACATAAATTCTCTAAGAGCGTCATGGACCAAATGCCAAGCATATCTGGTTAGGGGCATAGCTAAAGTGTTGCATTCCAAGATTGTGTTTTCTTTTCACTAAGCATATGCTCAATTGCATGAAAATTTGTTTGGAAAATCCTTGGTCTTATTATCAAATTCAACTGAAACAGATTTATTTTCGTACAGGCATATATAAGAAAATCCCCTTTTGATGCATTGTGGAATATGGATTATGGATTTGCTACCGCTGCGAGTCAAACATGAAAAGTTTTTGAGTGCTGATCCTAGGCTGATGGATTTATTTTATCTTCAAAGAGCAGAATCAGCCAAAATGAACCAAACTTGAACTCTAAAGATAATAAGGATTAGAATTTCAGTATTACCATCATCTTCTCACCATTCTTTTTTAATAAAACAATCAGCAGTTTTCTAACTCGAGTAATGCAATTCCTGTAAACAGTACTAAGGGAAAATGATTTCATAACAACACATTGAGCTTACCTTACTGAGATCCTTATCCATATCAACAGCCATATTGTGGGTCCTGGTGATTTGTTCTCCCTGAGCATTCAACATTTCAAGAGTCCTTGTAGCATCTTGTCTGATATCCTCAGCGATCCTGAGACAGTTATTAACACTGTTTGTTGTCTCCTCAGCCTTGTAGGCAGCAAATTTCTCCAGTTCTTGAACACTTTGGTTCTCTAGTCCCCCCGAGTCATGGAAATCATTCTTGTATCTGTCTCTATCATCGAAAGCATTATTGGGGACCTTAAGCATGGGCTCGGAAGAAGTTCGTTTTCCATGAAGTGTTTGCTTGGCATTGGATTCATCATCTGAATCAAATGGATTAGAGGCAGAAGAGGCTGGAGGGTTCTTGGTAGCTTTATTATTTGCAGGTGATTTCCTAAATCCAAACATTTTGACTATGGGCAAAGATTGTGCACATCAATTGGAGACTTGCTTGGTTGGAAGCGCAAAAACCAAGAAAAGGGAACAATGCTATCTGCGTGAAACTTTAATTCTGGTACCTAAACATAAACAACGTCAATCAGCTGTGATGGCAATGAAAATATTTCTTCCTTCCCAATTTCTTTTCTTCGTAATAAATGTTTCATGATATGCTAAAGACAGATTTACCAACCATTTGTATTAAATCTCAAGCCAAACACAAACATTAGAAAAACCCAGAAAATAATTACTAACATAACTCCAATTAATATAAATAGATGAGAAAAGGAAAGAGGAAACCAGAAACCGTAAGCTGTATTTTACAAGACATTAAAGTGAACAAATACAAATGGATCATAGATTTGATAAAAACGCGAACAGAGGAACTACCGAAAACAGAATCCCAACTGATCCTTCTGATTAACAAATACAAATGGGTATTGTCGACAAAAAAAAAAAAAAAAGCCAACATAATGAAATGCGGGACAGAATTTGGCCCGAAGAGTGAACATCAACGTTCCAATGAATAAAAAATTAGAGTTCTAATTTCAATTACGGCTCTTTCCATCTCATCCAGACAATTGAATCATAATTGCAATAAGAAAGATCACGAAGAAGAGCATAACAATCAACCAACGAAGGAAAAAAGTGAAAAAATCTTTGCTTTAAATAATGCAAGATAAATAGGCAATTCAAAACAAAATCACATTAAAATGTAGAACTAAAAAAGGGAAAGAAATCAAAGAATGGGTACCTGAGATTCGAATGAAAGAATGGGAGCGGCAATTAAAATTCTTGGGCAATTTCCAAGAATAGTTTCACGCAGAAAACCAGAGCCCGTGAATGGGAATCAAAGAATGGGTACCTGAAAACAAATTCCTTCTGATACAAGTAATAGAAAAAAGAGAGAGTTAGTTTTCGGTAATATAGTCTGCCTATCTGTCTGTGTTTGAAAGAATCCAAACAGATGGGAGGCGCTGCGGAAAATAAGAGAGTCTCTCTCTCTCTCTCTCTCTCTCTCTCTCTCTCATCTGAAATCTCCAGTACATGGAAAAATTGTCTCCTTATGTTATAGCTTCTCCTTTCATAATTTTTAGACCGTTGGGATTGTTTTATTCCTTTTTCCCTCTCAAATGTAATAATTAACATTTTCAGTTTTTAAATAAAAAAATTATTTAATTTATTTGTTTGGGTGGGTCAAGGTCCGTGTGAAATGTTCCTAGCCAGGTCCAATTCTTTTCAAATTTGTTTTCTATTGGATCAAGCCCAAGTGGTTATTGACGTGAGTATGAGGGGATTTGCTCAACAAGATCAATCTTCGCTGATAGCAACTGACAATATATATATATACACACACACCAATGAATTGCTATTCTCACCATTTTTTTCTTTAAAATATTACCAATACATCTTTCACCAATATTTGTTATATAACCGTTATTTATAATTGATGAATAATATATCAATAATTATCTAGAAAAAAGTAATAGAAGTAACAATTTCATTGATAAGTTTAGCACTCTTGTTAGTAATATTTAGTAGTTGACGGGATAGGAGAAAGAGAATTATACTATCACCACAAACTAAATTAATTATTACTGCAAAAATGAAGAGTTATCTTATAAGGAGATTTTATTTAAATTCAACTATTATAATGTTTTTTTTTTTTTGTTCTGAATACCTAATCTCTTACAAGTACAAGGAATTGGTTACCACCGAATCATATTCCTGTAGACAAAAAAGTTGATTAATCTTTCAACTTGCAAGAGGAAGACACAGACAATAATGTCTTCAGGTACGCCGCTCGTGGAATTTGGCCAATAGCTACCCTGAAAGGGAGGCTATCCTGCCAAAAAAACTATCGTGGCGAAGGAGAGTGTTTTTGTTCACTTTTGGAAGCCCTGGTCCCGCATAAATTTGGAAGCAGCAGCCAGCAGATACATTACCATCTAACTAGTGGGTGGTTATTTGGCAAAAATAAAATAATTAACAAGTGAGAGAGGTTGGGAGAATGAAGGACAATCAATATTTCCCTCGTTTTGAACATGAGGGGATGCTGCTGGTAACCAAAAAACCAAGATAAGATGACAAACGCCACTCTCTCTTTCACTCATTTTCTGTTCAAGCTAGCTAACCAAGAGCAGAGAGCGAAAACAATTAATGGCTACTTTACCATTCTCTGCAGCTCAATCGAATTCAATTTCACGTTCCGCATTTGTTTCAGGCTTCAACTACAGAGCTAGTCATTCAAATCTTTTCTTTGTTAGAACCCCACGATTTTTCAGTCGTTCAACAAGAAGAAACTTGTCTGTTAAAAACATTGGGAGTGACCAAAGGCAAGAATTGAAAGACCCCACGGTCAATGTAGAGGGTTCTTGTTGTTCTACTCAAAAGCTTCTTCCCTTTTCTAGTCTCTTTAGCGTTCTCTCATTCAACAGCTCGTACTGATATTTTACATGTGCTTTTATCTGTTTGCAGCTTCTTTAGATACCTTCGAACCTGATTCAGCATCTATTGCAGCCCGTATTAAATACCGTGCAGAATTCACTCCATCATTCTCTCCAGAACATTTCGATCTTCCCAAATCCCAAGGCGTTTGTGGCAACTGCAGAAAGCGTTCGTGACTCACTAGTTATAAATTGGAATGCCACATACGGGTACTACGAGACGATAAATGTAAAGCAGGCTTATTATCTGTCTATGGAGTATCTACAGGTTCAGTACAATCGGTTTGCTGGTGGCTACAACTACTGAAAATCAATGCTGCTATGCTACTTTGGATATTACTAGCCGTGCTGATGATTTGATAAGTACTGTGTATTTTATGTTCCAGGGGAGAGCATTGCTAAATGCAATTGGTAACTTGGATCTATCAGGAGCTTATACTGATGCTTTGAGAAAGTTGGGCCACAAGTTAGAGGATGTAGCTGGACAAGTAAGATGTTTTTATGATAAGTTTTGTTCAATCATCATGGTTGATCACTCCTTACTTTTTGCCAAGCCTCCTGATTTATGACTCTAATACTAATGATTTGCTTATATGTACTGCAAAGCTGGTTTTTTTTTTTTCCTGAAACTCAAAATAGCATTGCCTAATGGAGGATCCACCTCTTAAAAGAGTTTTACATGGAATGAATAAAATTGTTTACTAAATCTTTGCAAGTTTGTTGGGATTTGGGATATATTTCATCCTTCTACATACAGCGCAAGTAGTATGCTCATTTAAAACTTTGCCAAGCTTTATATATTGTTCTGTATCTGGCATCTCAACAAATACATATGTTGAACATAGCAACACTGTGTTTATAGCATGCCGAAATCTTTCTGTTAAATTTTAAAATGACAGGAACCGGATGCTGCACTGGGGAATGGGGGCTTAGGGCGGCTTGCTTCTTGCTTTCTAGATTCCTTGGCAACACTGAATTATCCTGCGTGGGGGTATGGACTCAGGTACAAATATGGGTTGTTCAAACAACTCATCACAAAAGTTGGTCAGGAGGAAGTTGCAGAAAGTTGGCTTGAGGTACTGAATTGTGTTTATTATTGTTGAATATTTATTATCATTTTTTTTTGTGTAGCCCCCTAAATTTTATTTGAAGCTTTATCGACATAAATTTCCAAGCTGATTGCTTTTATGCATACTGCATAATTTTTATGTTCCCCTCCCAATCTGTTGAATAATTGAACCATCTCTTGGCAGATGGGCAATCCATGGGAAATTGTAAGAAACGATGTCTCCTATCCAGTGAAATTCTATGGAGAAGTTTTTTCCAAGCATGATGGAAGTAAAGAATGGATTGGAGGAGAAAACATCACAGCTGTTGCCTATGATGTCCCAATTCCTGGATATAAAACTAAGACCACAATAAACCTTCGATTGTGGTCCACTAAAGTTGCACCAAATGAATTTCATTTACTTGCTTACAATGCAGGAGATCATGCCAAGGCATATGCAGCTCTAAAGAATGCTGAAAAGGTCTGTGAAGTAATAATCATAGAGCATTTAATTTATGTTTCTATTTATGATCAGCAAATTATGACAAACATTGAATTTTTAAGATTCACTCGAGCGCAATGAATCTCTATATGGAAAATTATATGTGTGTTTCTGTTCAGATTGTTGACAGCATGTCAGCTCATATTTTTAGCTATTAGAAACGGTTTATTAGTGTCGTTATTAGGGTTTCTAATACCAAAGCTGATGGTTCCATATGATGATTTGTTGCGATCAGATTTGCTACATATCATACCCTGGGGATGAATCAATAGACGGCAAGACTCTACGGTTGAAACAACAATATACACTATGCTCTGCATCTCTCCAAGATATAATTGGTCACTTTGAAAGGAGATCAGGGAAGCCTGTGGATGGGAAAAAATTTCCTGATAAGGTTGCTGTGCAAATGAATGACACTCATCCAACACTTTGCATCCCGGAGCTGATAAGAATTTTGATGGATTTGAAGGGTTTGAGCTGGAAGGAAGCATGGGATATTACTCAGAGGTACTTACCTACATGAGTTTTTTGCACTTATGTGGCAACTAGTTGTGCAGTAATGAAACTATGCTTGTTTCAAAATGTGTGCCAGCACATTTGTTTGCAGATGAATTAATGTACAGTTGATATGCAAAAAGATCAACCTTTCACTAAAATAATTTTACACAAATTGATAACATTCTCAGCAAAGGTAGTTGCGCTGTATGTTGGCTTCTATTTGTGGTTGCTAAATTCCCTAGGATTCTTTGATTTATGCAGAACTGTTGCATACACAAATCACACAGTTCTGCCTGAGGCTCTGGAGAAATGGAGCTTAGACCTTTTGCAGGAATTGCTGCCTCGACATGTTGAGATCATTAAGATGATTGATGAAGAGGTAAGATTAGAAAGACACAATGGTTTTGTCTTATATCAATTTTCAATTCTGTTGTCATATCTTCCTAGTGTTGTCCAGCTGATTCATACCATAATTGCAGCGTATGGCACAGAGGATCTCGACTTGTTGCAGCAAAAGCTAAAGCAAATGAGAATTCTTGATAACATTGAGTTGCCTGACTCAGTTCTAGAACTTTTAGTTAAACCAAAAGAAAGTTCTGCTGTTGACTCCGTTGAGGAAGTTGAAGTCTCAGATGAAGAAACTGAATCTACTGATGAACAGCAGTCTGAAGAGCAGGACATTGATGAGAAAAATGAGGTGACATTTGAGCCAGATCCAAAACTGCCAAAGATGGTCCGAATGGCTAATCTATGTGCCGTTGGTGGGTCTGCAATAAAGGGAGTTGCTGAGATTCACAGCGAAATAGTAAACAATGAAGTATTTAATGAGTTCTATAATGTAAGTAGATTAGTATGCTATTATTTTTCTCATGAAATTGCAGTGCTGCTTTTTTTCTTTCTTTCTTTTTCCTTGGGTTTACTGTGCATTGAATGTTCTTCATGATAAAAGTAATTTTTAGTAACCATTAATTTTTGGCAGTTGTGGCCTGAGAAATTTCAGAATAAAACAAATGGGGTGACACCAAGAAGATGGATTCGTTTTTGTAATCCAGATCTAAGTAAAATCATTACCAAGTGGACTGGAACGGATGGTTGGGTCTTAAACTCGGAGAAACTGTCGACACTTGGAAAGGTAAATTGATATTTGCTACACAACAACCTACAGGTTTCCCTGTGCTCAACTTAGATTTCTGGGGACATTTTAATTGGGATTTCACTTGAAATGCTTTTTCGCACGCATACCTTAGATATACCACTTTTGCAGGCACGCGAGTCTTCCCAATATATATATTTTAGGACAACGCTAAATTTGAATTTATCAGCTTCTTACATATTAGATTTTGACAGACAGGTGTGAGTTTTTTTGTAGTTTTCTGATAATGAAGACCTCCAATCTGAGTGGAGGGAAGCAAAAAGGAGAAACAAGATCAAGGTTGCGGCCTTCCTTGAAGAAATGACTTGATATATTGTCAACCCTGATGCAATGTTTGATGTCCAGGTTACTTCCTGCCCACAATTTCCTTGATCTGTTTCTGCTTTATCTGATCATACAACTCTACTGGAAGCTATTGTGGTCTTTTAGTGCTGGTACTTGATATCTGGTTTCTGGCATTCAAAAGTTCTGAGTAAAACGTTGGCATCTAAATTGAATAGTTGACAATGACGACAATCATTTCTTGAATTGTGTTGGTCTCACTTTTGTTCATGTTCAGAAAAAAAGAACGTATATCTTAAAGGATACCTTTTTCATCTTTACATTATTTATAAATGCAAAATATCTCGAGTCTACAAATAATAATGGTAATTCTCAGGTAAAGCGCATACATGAATACAAGCGGCAGTTACTGAATATAATGGGAATTGTTTATCGCTATAAGAAAATGAAAGAAATGAGTCCTGAGGACAGAGAGACCAAGTATGTCCCCTGTGTTTGTATATTTGGAGGCAAAGCATTTGCTACATATGTCCAAGCCAAGAGGATTTTGAAATTTATCACAGATGCGGGAGCTATGATTAATCATGATGCAGACATTGGCGACCTTTTGAAGGTAGAGCTTGGCTAAGTGATAATCGATATTCCTCATCAATTATGTCCTGAAGCTGATGACTGAAAATCGTAGACTTCCACTGATAATTGCGTTCATGCTTGTCACTCTTATTTCAGGTTGTCTTGGTTCCTGATTACAATGTCAGTGTTGCAGAAGTACTAATTCCAGGAAGTGACCTTTCACAGCACATCAGGTATTCGTGTTGCTTCAGAATTACAGGGCTTCTCTGTTTTCTTTTTTCCTTACAATTCAGATGAATCAGATGTGTACAATATCCGTGGCCCTTCTTCAGCAAATCTGACAAAAAGAAGCAATTGAATTACTGAAAAAACTGCCAGCCAAATTCCATTAAGATATTCCTACTTATTGTTAGTACTTTCTGCAGATTGTTGGCTCCATTATCAATTCAAGATTTTCGTTATTGATTCAACTGTATCTTATTATTGAATTGCTCAGCACGGCTGGAATGGAGGCCAGTGGAACCAGCAATATGAAGTTTGCAATGAATGGCTGCATTCTTATTGGCACCTTAGATGGAGCTAATGTTGAAATAAGGGAAGAGGTTGGAGACGACAATTTTTTCCTCTTTGGTGCACAGGCTCACGACATTGCAGGCCTAAGAAAGGAAAGGGCTGAGGGAAAGGTAAGCTTCCTATACAAGACTACGCTATTTTTTCACTTTTTCAGAACTTCCCATGCCATTTGACCAAAACTCCACTATCAGCTCCCTGCTTTAAAGTAAACTGAGGCGGAAAAAAAGGGGTAAGTCTATCATTATCAAAGTCACTTTATCTAACCCATCTTGTTTGCAGTTCATTTCGGACCCACGGTTCGAAGACGTGAAGGCATTTGTCAGAAGTGGTGTTTTTGGCCCTTACAACTATGAAGAACTCATGGGATCCCTGGAAGGAAATGAAGGTTATGGCCAAGCTGATTATTTCCTTGCTGGCAAGGACTTCCCTAGTTATGTAGAGTGCCAAGAGAAGGTTGATGAGGCATATAAAGATCAGAAAGTAAGTAGCGTTTGCTAGAGACATACACATGCATGCGCATATTGCAAACATAGCATCCACCTTTTCTTGTCCCTTCATACATTGCGTTGATAGATCAGAGTATAAAGTATTATATTTTTTATTTTTAGTTTATAAAATAAATGCATGGAAATCTGAAGAGTGAAATCTATACGACTCGTCATCCTTAAACTTCCATGAAACATACGTGTAGAATATAGATGAAAATCCTGCAAGCACTCCCTTGCACAGGAAAACCTGTAAAATACATGTGACTATCGGTTCCACAGGTAAAATCAATTTTATATTTATGCCTGAAGTTTATATTTATAGATGTATGAAATTATTATATATGGAAGCATGCCTAATGGGTTAATTACATCGCTAGATGTGTGCTAACATTTTCATTGATAATTGGAGCACAGATGGACAAAAATGTCGATTTTGAATACAGCTGGATCATACAAGTTCAGCAGCGACAGAACGATTCATGAATATGCAAGAGACATCTGGAGAATCCGGCATGTTCTATTGGCTTGAATTGATGATATCTGCACGGTGGGGGATGCGAACTTTATTGGTGTAAACCCCACGTTTTGATGTGTAAAATTTAGTATTCTTTGTTAGCGTACTATTACATACTTAGGACATGGGGAGATTGTGGATGGAGTGGGATCTTCCAAAATCAAAATTGCAATAGAAAAGCAACTCCTTGCCATTTGAAAAGAATTCCCGTGAAGAAACATTACACGATTCAAGTCAAGACAGAAAACCATAGCAGCAGCAGAAGAGCACGTCATCTAAATAAAGTAGAGGTTAGTGTAACAGCAAGGATGGCTTCTATCATGCCAGCAAAACAGATTAAAACGTCAGGCTGTGTGTAGCAGCTTGGTCGGGACGTAGGAGTCGGAGACAAAAATTCCAGGCAGCAGGGCAACCAATGATGAAGCCAAGCACAGGAAATCGAGATAGATACGATGAAAGTCAAAACCTTGCAGCAGTTATATATTGACACATCTTCCAGGACAAAGAATTGTCCAAATTGAGGTTACCAAGATAAATTACGATGAAGCCAAAATGGAAACCGAACCTCCTCAGCTCCTCCAAAGCAATTTATTAAAGCATATCTCACCTAGAAGTTTATAATTTATACTAATCTCTTACACAATTTAAATTTCTGTTACTCATCAAATGCACGAGAACTTCAAATTTGATAACTTTGAAATTTTAATTCAGTAACTAACAACGATAGAGTAATAGGCAAACTATGTTTTACTTTTGAAAATAATGAAAAGCACCGACTTATTAAATACTTGTGCTAGAAATTCTAAATTTAGGGTAAAAATGTTTTAAATTGATACCCATGCAAAATGGAGATCTCAAAATAATAATAATAATAATAATAATCTATTTACTTTTTTGTCCTTTGGTAAAAACTAACGGCTCCATAAGTGGAAAATGTCTATTTGCACAGCCCTATCACGTTCATTTCCAAAACTATCCTTGTATCCTATAACTAATAAAGGCAGTTGAGTATTTACGATAATGCTATTATCCGCAACCATGTCCTTCACATTATCTACCTCTGCAAAACTGTACTCAATCTTGTAGTTATTGAGCTGTTCATTCTTTTTGAACAGTGCGCATGCAATAGCATGCATGCTATCGAAGGCGCAAGAAGCCGTTGTTATTAATAATGGTCATGTACCTGGAACGATGCGGCAACTAATCTCAATTTTTTTATATATATTCTAATCCCAATTTTGGCGATAACAAATAGCAATTCAAGAATTTGAACAAAATATCGTTTTCAGAAGAAAAACAATGGACAACCCCTCAGCCCCCAAATTGCATAATCAGGGATTGAATAAGATGGTTGTCCCTGGACGGGCAATGGAGTTTTTGGGCTTTGGTGTGCCCCTTCAATTAATTTGTTGCCCCTCTTAGAAACAAAGGGGGACGGGATACACATGAAGGAAGTGTTTTTGGAAATGAAGCATTCAGCAAAGCCAGATAACAATAACATGCTTGTTTCCCTATCTCTTCTCTTGCATCTGCCATTAGTGGGAATGATTGTCAGAGGTTGAAGATGATGGCATTATCGTAAAATGCCGACATTTTCTTTTTAGGACAGGAATTAACTAACACAGTACCGTTCGTTGCGACTGATAAATCTATTATATATTATGTTTTAATATTTTAAATAATTTAAAAATATAAGTTTAAAATAAAAATTAATTAACACTAATACTAAAATTTTATTTAATTGAATTTAAATATATTTTAAGAATATTTTTTATGTTGAGAAAGAACAAAAACATGCAATTAATTATCTATTTAAAAATCAAATTAGAAGAAAATACTTAACCAATTTATATTAGAATAATATTTATTTTTAGTTAAGGAGTCTTTATAAAAATAAAAAAATCATTAATTATAGAAAATAATTTATTTTGAATAAATAATAAATAATGAAAAAAATAAAAGCATAAAAAAGAAAAAAGAAAAAAAGGTTGGACTGGACTGATACCACCCCGTTTTTGTATGGGCCTGCAGAAAACTAGGTCTACGTGGCCCAGCTAAAAAAATACAAGAAACTTTTTGTGACACTAGTTAATGTTAGAGACTGCTTTCTATAAAATAATAATTTAAAAGACCAAACTGTAATAAGTTGGATAAAATTATTATTATTATTATTTTTTTTTTGGTAAAACAGCGCCTTTTTAGTTTGATTATAGCAAAACTTAACTGCAGTAAAACACCATTTTGCTTTAATTCTTTTATAATAATTTTGGAATTTAATGCAATAAGGTCGTGCCATAGATATAGAGAGGAGTAAATTATAAATTAATCCTTTTTATTTTAAGAAGTGAATTAATTAGATTATCTATTTAAAAAATTAATAATGTAATTCTTCATATTTTAATTTCATCAATAATTTAATTTTTTGATGGAGGTGGTGATGAAGTGTTCTCACTGCAGTATTTTTTTGTTTTAAATTATTACTTTTTATGCATTTTTTCTCTTTTCTCATCTATCCCATCATCATAACAAACTAAAAATTTATTTGTTGTGTCATTTTTGCGATTCTTAACCCCTTCACTTAATCTTTTTCTTTCTCTTCAACCATCTTTATCATCATAATAAAATAAAAAATTTATCTTTTATATTGTTTTTGTTACTCTTGACTCGTTCGTCTTCTCTCTTTTTCTTTCTTCAACCATTTTCATCATCGTAATAAAATAAAAATTCACTTTTTATATCATATTGTTGATCCAAAATTCTTAAAAATATGAACCATATAATAGAATAACAGAGAAATTATAAGTATTTTTTGACTTTTAATTCATCATCTTTTAACTTGGTGGAAAAGATATTTTAAGTATTATATATTAATTTGATGGATTTGACAAAAACTTAATAATAAAAGACTAAATTATTAGTTTTTGCAATGATATAGACTAATTAATTCATTTCTCAAAACAAGATGGACCAATTTATAATTTACTCAGTAGCACCATCAAAATTGGTAGAAAATAAAAGGTAAAACTAACAGTTATAATTTTGAATAAGATTTACCAGGATAAGGAAGGTGCAACTAGTTAAAGTCAAATTTTTTTAATATAAATGCAGCAAAAGATATATTTAAATAGATTCACTACGATGAGGAAGGTACATATTTGTATTACTTCCTAAATTAACTAACTATTAACAAAGTCATTGTAAGTAAATTCTTTAAAAATCTCATCCACTTAGACACATACTGATTTCCAACATGAAAATAGAACTACTTTGAGCTGTTAAAAAAAAAAAAAAAAAAAAAGGAACAACTGAAAAAACATAAGACCAAATCGATTATAATGAATTGCTTCTAAAAAACATATGGTACATCTGGAATTTTTTATTTTTTTTAGAAAGTTCATAATTTTATTTATATCAAATTGGTACAAAATAAATTATTTTGTTAAGGTCTGTTATGAGAAAAAAGATATGACAAAAATATTCACAGTTTTGGTGAATTATTGTTTTCAAGGCAACATATAATTTTTTTTCATGGACGAAAATAGAGATTTATGAACTTCTAAAATCAAAATTTTATAAAACATAATTTTTCTTCTAAATCACGCATGCAAATGAATATTTTATTACCATAGATCAACAAAAGAAGGCACTTCAATGTCAGGCCTCATTAGATTTGAGTCTTCAAACATTGTTAATAGATGTCAATCTCTTTTACAGAACAAGATAGAGTCTCAAAGTTTGTATTAAAATACTTAATCTTTTAGATCTGTAGAAATAGAACTCTCATTTAAAAAAAAAAAAAAAAAAACCATATCTATATATTTACTATAAAACTAAAACAATAGACGTTTTTTAACAGTGATGAACAATGAAATCACTCTTCATTACTGTAGTTTAGTTTTTTTTTTTTTTTTAAGTTGTTTCATTTTGGTACCTAAAATATTAATCCCGCACTGTACATGCCTTTTTTTTTTCTTTTCTTTTTATCAATTTATGTTTTTTTATTTAATTGGGTGTTAAAAAATTGAAAAATCAAAATTTTATTTGCTTTTTTTCATCAATTTATTATCTTTTTTTTTAATTGGGTGTTAAAATTTTAAAAATCAATTGTAACTTTTTTCCACGTAAACCGACGATTATATAATATATCTTTTTATATTTTAAAATTAACATATACTTCAACTTATATTACTCTTATTTTTTAAATTTTATTATTTGAATTTATCATTTTTTTTAATGAAAATTCTCATCCAATTAATATTTTTATATAAAATTTTATTTACATATATTATATAATTTATTTGTCTCTATGTTTGAATTTTAGAATAAAATTTTAAATCATTATTTTTTTTATAAATATATATTATGAATTCTTAGAATTTTTAAATGATAGTTGTATATATATATATATTATTACGAAATGTTAAAAGTGTATTTCAAATAATTTGTATCGAGTTCACTAGGTATGGTCAAGACGTATAAAAAAATTATTGAATTGTTGATTTTATTAAAAATTAACCATACATCTTCTAACATAATACAAATTATAAACTATAATTTTTTTCTTAACATTATAGAACCAATTTATTTGGAATAAAATAATTAAAATAATTTTTTAAAGGAACCAATCAATTGTTCAAATATTATTTTTTATGCTAATTTTATTGATTATTTTGTAAATAAATATATATAGATCAAATGCATATACTTGAAAAAAAAAACCTTTTCACCAACATTAAATAAGAATAAAATTTATTTTTTCATTAGTTAATTTTTATACAAGTCAATACATTAATTATAACTTTATTTTTTGAATACATTCCTATAAAAAAAATATATAATTTTAAAGTATTTGTTTTTGAATTCTTAATTAATATTTTAAGTTTAAATTATTACAAGTTTTTATTTAAGAATCCATGAATAACAAAGAATAAATCATGTTTTTTTTTAAGTAGAAATTTTATGAAAAACACACAAAAATAGTAATAATTAAATAAAAAATTAATGAAAAAATTATAACATTTTTTAAATGGTTTTGTTCTATTTAGCCGTAGTATTGCGCAAATAATTTAAAACATTAATCTTCTTATCAGCATTAAATAAGAATTTTTTTATTTGTTAATTTTTGTAAAAATCTATCCTTTAATTATAACTTTATTTTTTGAAATACAATATTGTAATAATTATATTTTTAAAGTTTTTTTTTTCAATTCTTGATTAATATTTTAGTTAAAATTATTATAATTTTTAATTTTAAAATCAATCCATAAGAATGATTTATGTTTTTTAAGCACAAAATTTATAAAAACATTACAACAATTAATTGCATAAAATTTTAAAATAATTTTGTTCTGCTAGACTC